CACACACACACACACACACACACACACACACACACACACACACACACACACACAGGTCGCCCAGTGGGATCTACCACTGTGCTTTACCATCCAGCTGGGACAGAGCACCCTGGAGTTGTTTGGAGCACCATACCTGGGGTGGCAGATGGCCCGCACATGCGTATTGTTCACACACATCTGGTTCACATCACATTACATTATACACCTCAGACACTTCAGATGTTGTTTTTTTGCAACAATCAGTGAACAAAAAACCAACAAAAAAAGTCTGCACACCTCTCCATGGTGTTGCACCTGTGGCGTTAACTCTATTTGGATATGGTTAAAGATCAAGTGTGCTTTCCAACACCGCACAGCTATTTTTAGCATGCATTTCATGCATATTACCTTTCTTTGAAGGCCTTTTCAGCCATTTCTCGGGCTGCCTTACGGACCTCTTCAGGAACCGCATCCTTCTCCACCTGTGAAACCTGATAGACCTTATGCCCTGCATCCAGACGATAGGGGCCTCCCTTGCCACCCAGCCCTGCTGTGTCTCTGCCACCTGTAGAGAAAGCGATTCAAACGGTTACAAAAGCTTTTGTCATTAATAAACGTTGACACAAAAGCATTGCCATACCTCACAAATGTAAAACAGATCATTATCATTATAACTGACTATATAAAAGTGGTTAATTTTCTGTTGACAGACGATACATTAACTGACTGTTTCACCACTACGACTGATGAAGATTTTTCCTGCTGCCTTCTAAATTTGACCACATCTTCTGACTATCAAAAGGACCTATAATGCTGCTAACAAGCTTGACATTTTTATTTTGGAGTTGTCTGTGCCTCTTTATCTTATACTAGGCCTCTGACTGAAAGAAGCCATTTCAGCTTTGTTCAGATTGGTTGCCATCATAAACGGGTTTGAACAGCAGGTGGGTGAGGCTTCTATCTTCACAGCCAGAGATTTGTGCCTGAGATGACGATACATAATCTATGTTGTGTCTATGATGCAGACTAACCAAGTTCAGCAATTTTGCTGCCAAAACACTAGTTGGTGGTGGAGTTTCTCACTTCAAGGGGATCCATTCTCTTCCAGTCAATTTAAAAAAATAAATGTTAGCAGAAGAAAGAGTCGAAAATGTGTACGTGTCATGCATGTAGTTACAATACTAGGGACATATTAATAGGTTACATTACAAGTTATGGCAATGGGTTTATAGAAGGGTCTGTGGATATATTTGGACACATGGATTTTTTTATTTCATGCATGTTACAATGTGGTCAAAAACAACTGTTACCTGTGCCTCCCGCCCACTGGTTACCCCCGACATGAGGAGCATTGTGGGGGTCGATCTTGCCATGTTTCGGGGCGCTGACATCCAGGCCACTGTCCCTCTGGATGGTGATCTGCAAGGATAGGATGAAGGGAAGCCATGTGGGTGATGTCATAAAAATGCCATAAACATCCAACAAAAACATGCTCATTTTTTGATACAAAATAACAAAAATGCACAAAAGAATAATTCGGTATTTCTATTATTTTAGAGTAAATTGAACTGACAAGCTAAAAATGTCTCCATATTATGAAAAAGAATCTAAGTATGTGTGTTCAAATAGCACCTAATGTAATCCGGTTTGAGATCAGCCATCATTTCTTGATAAGCCCAGATCATTTCTCTAAAACCTTTCTCTGCAATGTCGTGATGCACTGAACTAGTATGTGAGGGCCATACACACAACCAAACAGTCAGTTACATAGCATTATCAGTCAAAGCATTATTAGAATTAAAGGAGTCTCTATCATTTAGTAGTGAGGTCTTAGCAGAATGGACAGAATAAGCTCTGTCTTTCTCTGCAGGGGGGATAATAGACGGAGGGAAGGAGACACAGAGGTTAAAACTTTGCTTTTTTAGGTCCATCTCAATGGCACCATCAGAGCCAAAATCAGCATGCTGCCTCTCACTCTGAGGCAGGGCGGCAGGCCAGAGTCTGGCACGCTTGAAGGACCGAGAGAGAAACGGGTAGTTCAGTGAGAGACTAAGTGTATCCCCTGTGGTTCAGCTGCATTCTTACATATTGCAGGAATTCAAATGGTATCTGTGGGGGGAAGAAGCTCTCTTGTAAACTGTGGAAAGCGCTGTGTGTATGTTCAAGTTATTATCTTTTCTGCTGTTGATTTTTTTATTGGTTTCTTGTGGTCTGAGCGGTTAACAGAGACTTATCTGAAGGGAGCGGCAGTTTGCTGAAAAGGACCCCTCCCCTCCCCGTCCTCACCCAGTGTCCACGCATCACACTGACACACAGAGGAGCTCAGAGCTCAGGCTCTGTTCCCACACCTGCACGAAGCTGCTGGATCAGCAGTGCTCTCTATATTTAGTTCAGATTAGGAGCACCAGTCTGATACACAGCAAGTCAGATTATACGGACAAGATAATGCCCATTGTGGTACTGAGCTTAAACAGAGGCTCTATTATTGATGACGGGATTCACCAGACAGACAACAGATGTTTGGATCCTTGAACAGATTCACATTAACGTTTTAAATCAAGCTGCACCTCTAAACACGACTTACACAGCAGCAGCTTGTTGATCACAATTTAAGGTCCTTCTAAATCATATCCTGTGTTGTCAACCTTTGAGACACCAATGGGGAGCATAGTTTAAAATGAACATCAAGTTGCTTTCAATAAGAACTGAAAATAGCGATTAAGACCATGAACTCATCTTCAAAGTGTCTGCTAAATTCACAAAATGAGAGTCATTTTTCCACAGTCTATACAAATGCAACCAGATGAATCGCCCCTGCTGGCCATTAGAAAGAATGTATACAGAATGTATAATAAATTCCAATTTTAAATTTAAGACAACTAACTGTTAAAGTGTGTCTAAAAGTAGATTTGACATTTCTGATATTATTTTATTGCAGACAAAGTCACTCGTCAGCCTTAAAATAATAAGACAGAGGGAGACTGGAGGTAATGTAGAGCATGTGTCACCATTACAACGTGAGAGCACAGATGGAGGGAACCCTGCGAGCTAGTTCGGGCAGACAACTGGAGTTGCTCTGCGTCACACACACATAACCTGACCCTCTCTTCACATCACATCACAAACACACCCTCTAAGTTTGGCAGCCTATTTTAGCTCCCATCACCATCTGTGAAATGTCTCTCTGCCTGCTGCTTCAAACCATCCACCTCTACCACGTCTACTCATCAGTCCCAATTTTCATACGTAGCATACTGTGAAGTTATGAGTTCACATATGAGTAACATAGTGACAAATGAACAAACCCGGGAGAATATCTTTAAAAAAAAAACAAATAAAGATCAAAATATTTTATTCACTTTTTCCTTTTCCCAAGGGGAGATGTCCCCAAACCAATCACTGGAGCCAAAATGATGCTATTTCATGTCGATGCTGATGTGTAGCCTTGCCAAGACCAGCCTCAAAGGTTGCAGAAAACAATTGAGGCCTGGCTATTTAAAGCCATGTTATGGTACTTAGCTTGATGCGCTTGATTACAGTTGGACAACAACATGCGTGACTGGACCAATGTTTTTGATTTTTCATTGATAAATAGCTAATCAAGCCATACATGCAAAGCACAACTTTAAACACTCTCCTTTCCTACAAATAGACACAGACTCAAAGAGTGAGGCACAATCACAGCAGAACTCCAGCTGTGTGGGCTGCCTTACACAACAGACTGACATGAGGATTGCCTATACTGGCCGACAGTAAAAATGTCTTTAAAAAAAATTAAGAAGAAACTAGTGTTAACCTGAGTAAGTAGTGAGACCTTGGTCAATAACCAAAGCTCACCTCCAGCACTGTAACTGATCTCTGATTACACACTAACGTGCCTCTCAGAAACCTCTGCATAACATGAGCTGTGCTGCACACAGCTGTGTCATGTTGAGGAGTGGGTGTGTGCACTTGATCCACAGGAATATGACTTTAAGGCTTACAGTTGCTATACAAGTGTTTTTGAATGAGATTGCAATCACTCGATAAAAGTTAGTGCCACCGACCTAGCACCATCTCCATCAGGTTAACATCACCTGGTCCCCGATGCTCATTTTGTGCCTGTCATTCACAGAGGAAGTTGAGCTATGGGATTTTCTCAGCGTCGACTTATTTCAGTAATTCACCCTTGTCATCACACTGTATATAGATATAACACTCTCTCTGCGTCGCAGCATAATTATGAATGTATCACCACACTGCTAATGCACTCTAATCTGACTGTCAAACCAGGAAAAGGGTTGAGTTCTTAGAACACAACTAGTGTTGAGTTCTAATCTAATATAAAATCCATTATAAAAGCTATATTTTGATGTATTAACACAAATTGTTCTCCTTTAATTCCATAAAAGATATTTATGCACACAAAAATATATGTATCATCTTTAGCTGTAATAAAAGGTCATGTCTAAAATCATTCCCTGTTGGTGTGTTACATATAATTTGCATCAACTGATTAGAATGTCTTAATTAAGGATGAGAACTTATCCGTGTAGTGCCCTTAAAACTGGAACGACAGAACAGAAAAGAAGAGAAAAGAAAAACGTACTTACAGTCTCACAAATGTGCTGAATTTAGAGTTTCCAGAATGATTGTTAAAGTCTGAACAGCCTATGGTAATGACACAATGTGCAAGCGTGTGTTCATTATGTCAGTTACTGTTCAGCTTTGAGTGAACTATCGGCTGTCTATTATACCAGGATTAGTAAATGAGTGATTTCAGACACAGCTAATGTCGGCTAAACTATAACTGTTCCAGTAGATCTTGCTACAGCAACTGAATGCTCATTGTCTTTGAAAAACACAACCGATGACCTCCCAGGCTGAAAAATAGATGTCATGGAAAGGTGAAAAAAACCTGGACTTTCATGTTAAAATTCACTGAAAAAATGGTTTTAACCTCTATGCATCATTTCACACTTCATATAAAACTGTACATTCTCTTTTTTATAATTCCTCCATTTGAATGGATTAGAAGGTCGTTGGGGTTGCTTTACCTCCACATATCCAAGCCACTGAACTGGACCTCTTGAGCATGTTTAAAATAACAGATTTTATAAAGTTTATAACCAGATATGAAGTACAGAAGTACAGAAGCTTAAACACATATGGAATCTCTTACTTATGTTCATATGAAAAAAAATAACACAATATTTAATCCACAGTACATCTCAGTTTTTCAACACGATGAAGAAATTCTGCTGTAGTAAATGAAAGAAATCTGTCAGGATGACTCTTTGGGACTAAATTGTAATTAATAGATCTGTAGAATTACATAAAAAGTACCTCATTTCCCAAAATGTCTTGTAATAAGAAAACACAGTTTTTGCTTCTTCTTTTTTTCTGTATAGACAAATAGATCAGTAGGAAAAACTGTAAAATAAAGTCCCAAACATATGTCCTTCTTCACATTTTCCAAAGCCGTCCAGTGGGATTTTAAGATATTGGGAGTCTCTGTCGGGCTAATTTGGCCCCCAGGCCTTCTGTTTGACACCACTGATTTAAACAATGACACACAATTGAATTAAAATCCTCGCTTTTTTTGGTTTTTTTAATACTGGCGTCTTTAGCATAAAAGGATTTAAGGATGGATGATTCTTACCAGTCACGCGAAACTGATAAAACCACACACTGTAATGAATGAAATTAAGAGTTGAATGCTTCATGCGTAGAGATGTTTGCTTAGATTAGAATGAATATTCCAAGATTGTATCACGCTTAAGGCAAAACTTTGATGCAGTTTAAGCAGCTCCGTAAGAGCAGGAAAACACCTTTGAAGAACATGCTGAACTGTAAATACCTTATAATACCTGCATTGATGCCAATTGCTTGATTGGTGCTTGTCTCATGCTAAAGTAATTTTGAATTTCCTGCTCCAAACAAAAGACAGATTACTACGCTCCGTAACCACAATTTGGGGTTTAAAGAAGCACCACAGAACTGAATGGTTGATGTCAAATTACTGCGTAAATCTTGGATAAATGTGTTTGTGTGCTGCTGTTGCTGCATGTCCCGCTCATAAACAGTAAGCTAATGATGGCACGTTAGCGCTGAGAGACAGGCAGAAACCAAAAGAAGGAATTAAGGGGAAAAGGACGGCAACGTCAGTGGAGAAAACTTCATTTTTAATGACAGTGGGAATCAACGTTTTTACCCCTCCCTTTTTCTTTCTTTTGCTTTCTACCAGTATATGTCTCTGTCTGTCTCTTATCTGCGGTCCACGCCTTGTCTTCTAGGATAAATAACCTCATAAATTTCTTATTCTCCTTCAGACCACTACAGACAGACAGTGATATAAGAGCGATGGTGTAAGTGTGAATACACACTTTTGAATGTGTGTATGCAGTCACACATAGTGCATGAGGTCAGCCCTTTTCTTGAGTAAATACATGTCCCAGTGTGATGCTGGGCGCACGCTAGTGTGTGGGTGTCAGCATAAATGCGTGCCCGTACACGAACGTTCAAAAATATTCTGTGTGTTATATAAAGGTCTCAGTGATTCAGTGTATCTGCAGATTGATGAAGCTGTGTTATGTTGTGTGTGTGCATGCAGGTTCTGAATGACCTGAAATTAATGGTGTAGGAAACACTGCACCATTAATCAATGGCTTTTCAGTAAAATGAACATATAGATGGATGCATGAATGGATGGGCATAAAGAGATTTCGGAAACTATTATTAAGATCGACTAATTTATGAAGTGAGCAATGTGGTTAGAAAGCTTTGTCTCAGAGTTCAACATGCCATATTTTTATGACTTGTATTAACATACAGATACTCTGTAGACACTTCTACAGATGCTTTAAACTTTGAGGGAGCAAGCATGTGCATGCATGAATATGAGTGAAACTGAAGAGCTTGTGTCAGTGGGGAAAGGCCAGGTAGATGGAAAAGTGGCACCTGGCCAAACCTGCCGAAAACAGGGAAGTGTAAAAACAACAAATCACACAATTAAGTGTCAGGTTGAGTGACTATAACTGGTTGCAATATGCAGGATAGCTGCAGACACCAATCTGGCACCATGCGTGCAGATAGATGATGAGTGATGTCTCCTATGTATCTTTGTCTGCAGGAATGATGTCAGCTATGCTGTAATGGAGCAAAGTCAGAGCGACGTGTGGAGGCGCCACGCTTACTTGGGCACACACACATAGCTCATTGCGTGCTTTTCCAGAAGTATACAGTAGAGGTATTAATGAGTATTACGAAGGCAATAAGCCATCATGACATGAGCTTTGTTTATTAAACCTGTTAACCACTTCCAGCATGAAGAGATTTCCTTCTTTTTTCCACTTCACACTTTAGTCAGAACCCATTTTGTTATGCTCTATAACCATGTCATAAAAACAAGGTACTTGGCACATACTGTGCAAACATCTACGCCCATATAGAGCTAACGTAGTATGTACACTGTTTGGCAAAGCAGATATAGAGAGCCTTTTAGGCGGCTGTGAACAAACTCAGTAGAGCCCATGCTGTTTGCTGAGACTGAGCACAGGGAGAGTCTGTCCAAGTCTAACCTACAGTGGACTCAAGGTGACCCACCAAAGAAGATATGACTATTGACAAATCTAAACCAGAAACAGGCAGAAACGGTGAGCTATGGGTGTTTTCGAGTCTATAATCTCACACAAAGACGCTTGGGATAGCCTTGTGATATGTTTTACAGCAACCAATGCAGATAGCTCAGACTCCAAAAATTAGTCACTGATATTATACAACTTCATGATTGGTCTCCTTGTTACCATTTTTTCAGGCCATGTTGCATCTTCTATCTTCATGCCTGGTGCAACAAACACAGATCTGCAGCTAATGCTCTCTGCATGTGGACGACTCCAATATGCCAAGAATGTTTGTGTCTATGTGCACATGTGGGCACCTAAACAATGCTGTCTCAGTGCTCTGGTCTGAATGTTCTGACCTACACTAAGGGTCAAAGCTATTGCATCATCAGCACGACAGCCAGCCATTCATAACCATCCACCCTGGGTACAGCTGGGTCATGAATTATGGAGCTGAAAATATTCCCTTTAGCACAAAAACAGAAATGTTTCAGCTAATGTCTTCTGCCAGAGTGAGGCGAGCATGCAGAGCAACTTCCAATGGAGAGTTGCTTTAAAATAGAGGTGCTGCCCCTCTGTGGTGTGGAGATTAACTGCAGGCTGCAAGCGTTTCTAGTCATTGTATTTGCCACTTTGTGGAATTCTATAGAGAAACTTATCAATGAGCCATGTAATGTGCTCAAAGACACTCTGTTGTATTACCTGTATGGGTCTGCCGTCCTCTGAGCCAATCATATTCCTCCATTCCATCAGTGAGCGCTGCAAGGTGTCTAATCCTGTCTCCCAGAGACGGATGTACCCGCCCATATCCACCGTGACGACACCTCCAGAACCAAGAGCAGCTATCAGCACATCACACTCTGACACCTTGGACACCCAGTTGGTGTAGGGCGACACAGTCATTGACCTGCCAATTACAGATACAAGAAAAGGTCACAACACAGAACACAGAAAAAGAAGTTGATTTAGATAAGCAGGGACCATTGAGTTTTTATTCCACTCTTTTCTATTCCAGATCCTATGCAATTATAGTAATGATATTTATTCACGGTCTGTACAGATCTTATACTGGGCCTTGGGGCAGGCCTTCAGATCATCCTCTGAAACAAATGTTTTATCTCTTTCCACCCTTTAAAACTGCCCCTCTTAAATAGATGATGGGAGGGGCTTCTGCGCTTACCGGCAGAATGGTGTACTTGAAATGACAATTTTCACATATGCTGGGTTAATTTTTTTGGAACCTGGTCCATGTTAAATATGAGTATCCATTTGTCTAAGAGACAAAAATTAGAGGGGAAAAAGCGTAATATGTCCTCTAAAAAAATTACAAGTTTCCAAGGTTGAACACATGTAAGATGCAGAGAAGATATTTTAGCACTTTTGGGTTTTTTTTCTTTTATAGTGCAATGCTGTCACTGACCTCTAGCTGGAGCCAAAGGATGTAAAGTTACATTCTTGTTCTGAAAGTACTGCAGAATGAGGTAGTGAGGTAGTAAGACACCAGCGGTTTACCTTGGAACAGGAATATATTTGAGCTTCTTGGAGTTGAGATCAGTCACCTCCAGGTATGCCGCTGTCATTGGAGGTGTGACGTCTGCGTGGCAAAGAAAACTAATCTTTAAACTTTTGAAAACTTTCAAAACTTATATTTCCTGAAAACCTTTATGTAAGGTGAACTCTGACCTTTGGGGTACAGCTCTTTTAGGGGGACTTTGTTAGGTGGAAGAGCTCGAACCACCTGATTGACCGGGATCAGACTGACACAATTCTCCTGTTTGGCCGTGGCGCTCCGAAGCCCTCCTCTGAAGAATGCTTGAGCCCCGCTGTCACCACTCTTTATCGCTGATAGGTTGACGGGTCTTTTAAAGCTGTACACTTCATTAGGTGACTCATCAAGAGAAGAAATCCGAAGGAAAACGTCACTCTTAAGCCATCGGTCATACGCATTAGAGTAACTCACTCACAATGCTCTTTGTTTTCAATTAACATCTTCTCTAACGCTTTCATTTTTTCATACATGAATCAGGCAGATAAAATACAGACTCAAAGCTAGGCCCTGTCTTAGCTTTGACTTTCAAATAGGTTCCAAAAAAATGTTAACGCCACATGACCCCGCTTCCCTTCAAGCTCTATAGAGTTCAACTAGATATTTCTACTTCTAGTAGAAACATAAAAAGAAAGAAGACAGGAAACTGGAATAAGAATTATTATTGTCACACAAATTTCTTCACCAAATTCCTTCATAATCTCACCATGAGATCTGGGAAGCCGACGATGAGCCGCGCGTAGGAATCTGTGTCAACCAGCACACGGTTAGGGGAAACAATCTTCTGGTTCAGAGCGGCACTCAGGTTCTCGTTGGGTAGCTGCTCACATGACAGCATCTGGGGTATAGACAACTCGGCTGCAGTGATGGACCAGCATGAGTTTGGCGAAACAGAAACATGAAAGAAAACAGTGAGAAAAAGAAAGAAATAGCAACTTGTCCATTGGGGGAAACTGGGACTGAGTGTTGTCGAGGGTCACATCAATAAGTTGAACTCACTCGTGCTCAATATTTCAATATTTCCTCTTAAGAATACAATCCACTGAAGTGTGACAACTATGAGCTATAGCTTTTCAAATGACTAAACATTTGAAAATGTATTTAACTTATGGCCATTTAATGTATAAACTTAGAGGTCTGAAATACAGCTGTTATTAGTTTAACTCTCTCTATTTCAGTCTCCATGTTAATTGGGTCTTTAAGAACTGCTACACAGCAATACAGCAGAACATGAAAATCTGTTAAATAAACATAGGGAGATTGCTGTTTTTATTATATACCGTGCCATTAGGTGCGATTTTCCAAAAACACAAAATTTCATTTCATATATATGGTGACGATTGCCAGCTTTATCTATCTTTTAATCACTCTGACAGCTCCTCAGTTGGAGTCCTGCTTGATTGTCTTAGCAATGTTGAGTCAAAATTTCTAAAATTTTAACGAACGGAAAACTGAAGGAATTTTATTCGGTCTCAGTCGTTCTTTTGGTACCCCAGATGTTGACTTTGCTGCTCTGACCCCTGAAAAGCTCGGTTACTAATCTTGGGGTAAAAATCGACAGTGCGCTTGGTTTTGATGCCCACGTAAATGGCGTGGTGAAATCTTCATTCTTTTACCTCAGACGTCTGTCAGAGGTAAGCCTCTTCTCTCCAGGCGTGACTTGGAAACTGTCATCCATTCTTTTATAACCTCACGCTTGGATTACTGGAATTCCCTTTTAATAGGGGTTGGCCAGGGTGCTCTGTCACACCTGCAGCTGGTGCATAATGCTGCAGCACGGTTTTTAACTGGTAAAAGAAAATTTGAGCATATTACTCCAGTTCTGGCCTTCTTACACAGGCTTCCAATTTAAAATCATTTTAAATTGTAAATCCTTAAACAGTTTGGCGCCTGTATATTTGTCCAATCTGCTGCAGCCCCCCTCGTTTACTCCGGTCAGCTGAGCAGCTGTTGCTCTCAGCCCCTAAATCGCGGCTGAAACTTGGAGGAGACTGAGAGTTCTTCTTCTTCCTCGTCACATTAGGCAATCTACTTCAGTATTGGTCTTTAAATCCAGGTTAAAAACAAATTTTTATCCGCTGGCTTTTGACTCAGTGAGTAACTGACATTGTTAATTTATTGTTATTGATTTATTGTACTTTTTATATTTCTGCTGTACAGCACTTTGGCTGCCCATGTGCTGTTTTTAAAGTGCTATATCAATAAATTATGGCACGGTACAAAGATTACTTCAAAAGAGATTTCACTAATTACGATCAAAACGTGCAAACCTTTTAAGCGCAGTAGGACCCGCTTTGTTTGTTTGTTCTTTTTAGTTTCTTTGTGGCTTTTTTAGTCCATTTAAAAATGTGATGAATATAATGTTGAAAAAAAAAAACAGTATATCCCACAAGGCGATATTTGACATATTTAAACAAGCAAACACTTTGAAACAGTCTCTAAAAGTTAAAGGTGATCTACATGAGCAACAGCACAAGTTATTAGCTTTTCAATTATTTATTGAAAAAAATATAAACGGATATTCTTGAATGGAAAAAGTAAGTGCATATTTGGCCTCCAGACGCTAGCATTGAACAACATCTTGAAGTTGTTTTGCATATTTGTCCACCAGTTACTGACATCAGCTTTCTAAGATTTATGACCACAAGAAGTCAAAACTTGTAGAGAACATATCTTTATTGCTGGACTGACGTGTTTAGGCTTGTGGCTTTCATCAGTCAGGGTCATCAGGATCATGATGACCACGAAAACCCCGAAGACACGTCTTGTGGCCATCAGAGCTAAAGGCCACTAGTCAATACAGATTACATCTATCATTACAGCCCTCTTCCTCTGCTTGTCTACCACCACTATGTCCAGTTGATTAGCCGCCACCACTTTGCCTGTCTGTAACTGGAAGTCCTACAGGATCATAACTCGGTTGTTCTCAACAACTCAAAGGGGCATTTTCCATTTTGACCTTGGGACAGGCCATACTCAGCACAGGTATTCCTGTATATTATACAGGCTACCTGGTTCTGCTATTCCATGTATGCCCTGCCTGCTAGCATCCTGGACACTGTTGTTATGTGCTGGATTGTCTCTGGGTATCTTTGCACAGCCAGCACCAAGGATCTTGCCTGGTGTGATAGACCACAACATCCCAGGAACGACATCAGATCTGTGTCCAGAAGAGCACCAGTCTAGTTAAAGCTAAGATACTGCGCAGGACCATTAAGCTCCCAGACCTCTGGTAGAGGTCCCAAGCTTGAATGATAAAGACAAGAAAAGTAAGATTTTTCATTTTGACTCTGTGTGTGTGTCTGTGTGTATAAATATATACCTGAGCTTGTTCCATGGCCTGAGTTGACTGAGTCCTCACTGATGCTGTGAAGCTGACAGACTCCAGAGTCTTCAGCTGCCATGTGCATGGGCTTGGTCAGCAGGAACTTCCTATACAGTCAGACATGCACGATTATTTTAAAGTTCTATCCAGAGACCTGGACAGATATTTGAGATCCATTACTTACTTGTTAGAGTTGCTCTCCAGCAGCAGCCAGCGGTCCTCTGCCACCAGGAAGACAGACTTTAGGTTGATCGGAAGGGAGATGGAGTGAACTCGTCCCTCAAGCACATCCAGGACCTCCAGCTGGTTGCTGCACATGCAAAAGCAGCGACTGATACCACAAGACTTCAGGATGCTGGTGCTGTGTAACAATGTCATGGATGTAGTTTACCTGTCCTCCTTATAGAACAGAAGCCAGTTTTTGTGGGAGAAGTCACGACACATTTTATACCCTGCCTGCAGGCAACAATCACAGAAACAAAAACACATTAAGTTCAAATCTTTTCACGGAATGATCAGAAGAATAATTGACAAGTCTTTTCATAATGCAGTCTAGTTCAATGTCAGATTTAAATCTAGTCACGTGGAAAAAAATAAAGCCTTGAATGAAAAGCAAAGAGTTTACGAGCCACAAGTGAATTTAAATTTGTCTCTGGAGACACAGAGTCTTCTGACCTGTTGTTCCTTACTGTTCCACCAGTTCGACGATCTGCTGGAAGACTGATCACTGTCGGGGGAAATCATGAGCCTCCGCAAGGCGCCTGTCACCAAGTCCAAATGGAGCACTGTGTTACCCTAAAGAGACAGAAAGAGGAATTAAAACTGGAGAATACAACTGAGAGGAGCCTGGATTCTGGCTGGTTTTCAGGGGATCAAACACTTTTCTCACTCGGTGCAAATTATGACTTTTGTATAATATGTTTTTTGGTATGTGTTTTTTAAATGATATTCTGTCTCTCCATTAAAATTAAACCATAAAAATTAGAGTGTTAATTTGTCTATTTGGATGCCATTCACCACTACACCACAACGCACCACTGCAGGACTTTCCCATCTACACAGTTTTCAAACAAAGCTTGCTCACAAGAAAATACAAGCTCACTACACCAGCACTAGTAGTGTCATTCAGTCTACAAATCACTCGGCAGCTCTGTGCCTAAACACATGTCCAAAAAGCTAAATACATATTATATGAAATATTTTGTTATTTGAAAGACCTAGGAGTGTCTTCTCATGTTTTAAGGTCCAAAGCAAACCTGTAGTGAGGTGGGCAGCATTTTTACAGCCTAATCACTTGGAGATCCAACACTTTTGTATAACATAAAACTGTCAACACTGAATACAGTTGTCAGCAAGCGTACTTGGAAGATTGATGGAAAAGGTTGGTTATTAGTCTGCTAAGACAGCGGTCTCCAACCTTTTTTGCACCACGGACCGGTTTATGCCCGACAATATTTTCATGGACCGGCCTTTAAGGCGTCGCGGATAAATACAACAAAATAAAACTAGTACCGGTACCAAAAAAAAAAGAAGATTTATTCATAACACACTGAAAAGACCCAGGAAAACCGAGTTAACGATAAAAACGATAATAAAATAACGCTGAAAACCGATAAAAACTCTGAAAACCATACATTTCACACCTGAGCCTCAACTCTCGCGGCCCGGTACCAAACGACTCACGGACCGGTACCGGTCCGAGGCCCGGGGGTTGGGGACCGCTTTGCTAAGATATTAAATTAAAAAATGTTAGAATAATTTATTTTTCAAATTAACTTTATTATTTTTGCTTTTTGAAGAGTACTTTGTGGACCTTCACTCTTATCCATGTGGTTTCTTCTATATTTTGTGGCAAATGTGGGTTTAACTGTCCCTGAGCTCATCAGTGACTAGGATTGTCTTTTGCTTCCAATAACCTCCATCTGTGCTCTTTTACACCACCCGCACAGCTGATCGACTTCTTCTTAATTAGTTTCACTGAATTAACTAAATATTTCTTGATTTCAACTTGTAATTCCCTGTGTGGTCTCCTGTTTTTGTTAATTATGAGACAGTTTATGACCATTTCTGTTTAATACTATAAATCCTAGTGTTTATTTCCTCCAGTACAGTTCCTCCATCAACAGAGGGTGCTCTTCTTCCAGTGGAACCCTCTGGTTTGGGTGCTGATGTTCCTCTACATTCAACAAATGTGCCTGCTGCACTTTCAACTAATTCAATTCAAAGATAAACCGATTGCCCGTATGGGCTTCTGTGTTTGTATGCAGGATATTTGTGTGTGTGTGTGTGTGTGTGTGTGTGTGTGTGTGTGTTTTGGATGAACTGTGCAAAAGGCTTTCGTTTGTGACGCACAAGGATTCATCTTCAATTGAGTTTTATGAGAAGGAGCCACAGGGGAGCTGGCCTCGGGCCCGGCTACCCTGCTTCACGCTAATGGTTTCCTTATGGCCTCCCATTCCTGACACTCACACAGTGATACTGAAGACAGAGAGGGCAAACCCCATTTCCTGATTCTAAACATACACTGCCATTGGAGGAAGTATGTACATCTGAGAACACACGTGTGCATCCTGCATGTGGATGTATCTGCACTAAGATTTTGTGTATCTGAGGGATAAAAATATAACTGCTATGTTTTCATACCCTTAAATGTACCATTGTGATGTCTTTAAATACTTTCACAAGACTGTGGATGCATTCATTCATGTGTGTATGCTTAGCACAATCGGCCAACCTCTGTAGATTATGTATCGGAATTTCAGGAGCGGGACCACGCCTCCAAATACGCTCCTTCCGGCCGTCATCTATATAGGTTCCCACAGTTCTGCAAGCTGTTCGTTCTCGTTTACGTGCCCCACCCTCCCTCCCTCCTTGTTCTCAATTCTTTAACTTCTTCACTCCTATTTAAGTATAAGGGGATCTGCCAGGCCCGGGAGCCATTGCCAGTCCCCTTTGAGGCCTTCCCCAAACCGCAGCTTACTTCATGTCCAAGCATTCACCTTTACCTACTAAAATGCTGTCAAACCTAATATGAGGACGTGGGCCCAGCTAGTGAAATGTATGTGTGTGTGTGTGTGTGTGTGTGTGTGTGTGATGGTTTCCCTGATCTCCCTGGAAGGCCAATGACCTGCAAATGAACTTCATGTTGTCTGGACCTCTTCATTTTTAGACAGACGTAACATGATCCATCGCCACAGTATTTTTAGAAGTCCTCCTCTTGCCTAATATGCACCAGCTGTGGAAGTGTTCTGGTCGGAGAAACAGCCTACACACATTGTTTTTGTCTGACAGTCTGCTGTCATAGGACAGGGTCTTACAGGGTAAGAGGGATTCAACGACCGACTCAACAACCACTAACCTCCAACCATTTTAAGAAGCGGACTTCTGCACAGCTATTTTAAATCTGTGAGGAATCTGTGGTTGTCCTCAAGAAATAAAAAAAAGAAGTTTAAATACCAGTGTTGTGTAAGTGTCCGGTTACTGGATTGTAAACAAGGACGTTAGACAAAAATGGTTAGACTAGGGTTCCTCAGTGAAGACCAACAGATGCAAGTGCACCCTTTTTATACCACTAAAACTACAAAACATAATGGTGATTCTTTTCATTTATGTGTGTGTGTGTGTGTGTGTGTGTGTGTGTGTGTGTGTGTGTGTGTGTGTGTGTGTGTGTGTGTGTTTTTGGTTTTGTTGTTTTTGTTTTGACTCCCCTCCACTACCTTGAAGACACACTGTTGTGGGTTTTGACCACTGGGGGTGCTGTACAGCTTTGATGAATAAATCATCTTCTGGAACTCAGACGTTTATATCAATTGCAAAAGCCAGTCAAGTTTGATGCTGTTAAAGTTAGCAACACCCAAACGTATATTTGACCAGTCACGGAGGCTCCACTACCACCTGTCTAAGACAGACCAATCACTTCAAGGACACGAGGTTTCCTGACCACATTTATAAAAGCGCCTGGCACCATACCAGGTATTGTTGATAAATAAAGACGAACGGTCTGTGGCCACCACCTGGAGTTTCACCAGGTGGTGGCCACTGTCACCTTCATTTGCACCAAAGCAGGTTAAATAGATTCATAATGGTTTATGGTTCCTAACTGGACAGAGAGATATCCCTGAAGGTTAACTGACTTTGTGCTATACTGTGATGATCCAGCTTTTCCTTTTTATGGAGTACCTTGTGCTAGCACATCTATTTGTGTGATGCACTCATACTGTATATGAATCAACCTGCTAGCGAAGCCAGACACTTTGACATAATGACTTCAACCTCATGATGGTCGTTAAAATACTTTTGTATACTGTTGTATACAGTCTATGGTTGAAAACTGAAATCATGATAACATAGCAAAATGTACAAACTGATCAAAGTGGGCAAAAACTGAAAAATGTCACCTTGTCCAAAGGTATGTTAAGTGTTACAAGCTACAAGCCTTTTAGGGAGTGTGTGAGAAATGCCAGCACAGAGCCAAACCCCACTTCCCTTTGAACAGGCATTTAGAGCAGTTTGGATAAACGGCCATTGGGCTGTGGTGAAAATGTGTAACATTAACAATGAAAATCTCATTGGGTACATTCATTTCATTCACTCGATCTAATGCAATCTAATCATGCAAACATGTCTTTGTGTACATGTGTATATATTTGTCTGCCAACCTGTTCCTCGTGCAGCACCACCTGTCCATCCAGTGGACTCCCAAGTGGAGCAACCGTAACAAAGGGCTGCCAGACACCACTGATGGTCCTGGGGAAGACATCGTAGAGCTCTATGCACTTGATAGTTTCCCCACGCTCCTTCATGGAGTACAGGGACACTGGGTTACAGGTGGCCACATACAGCACATCTGTCAAAACAAAGATTGAATGCATTCTGTGAATTGAGCTACTGCAACAGGCAGTACATTTCCCAGAATGCAAGGTGCTAATTAAATAGACTAATGTTACTCTGCAGCTGTCGGTGTCGATGCAAAATGGTGACAATCTGAAATTAGGGGTGGTCATATATAGGGATTAATAAATACACTGTAGGGGTGATTTCTGACACAACCGATGTTATAATGGACACATGGCACTCAAGTGATTCGGGATTGAACTGATGAAAGAATTCTGCAGGAGACCAAAAACTTATTTGGGGGTGAATTCAGCAAACCTTTGAAGTTTAAAATCGGATTTTTAAGGAAATTCTGTAAATGTCAAGTTTGTAAATCCTGATGACTACTGAAATAAATCTAAATACACTTAGATAAAGTTTCAATATAGCTACCCAACTGAGTGCATACAGGTGTTTTAAGATGGCTCGCATGGTGTGAGGCTTGCTTTATTTTCTTTTTTACCTCCAATGTGAAGTCTGACAGGTGCTTTTCAGTATGCTTCTGATTAGGCCACCTAAAGCTGATATAAAGCTTCTATAAACTTCTATGTTTTCTTATATATTGGTTAGTTGATATCATCGGCCAGTATGGACTTACTGCAAAGATATGAGGATATATGTTGTCCAGTATGTATGGACTGATTCTTATACAGCGCCTTTCTATTCTTCTAGAGCACTCAAAGCACCTTTTTCTTCTATGTTTAAGTTCTTTTGTATCTAATGGGATTAGTATCTTGCCCGAGGATATTTGGCATGCAGACTGGAGCAGCCAGGAATCCAACCACCACTTTTCCGATTAGTAGATAGCCTGCTCTACCTCCTGAGCAACAGCCACCCTTGTGCATCAATGTAACACTTGTGATTGTCTCTTTTATAGAGCATGGTGCAGAAAAAGACATCTGGGGTGATTTACAAATGGTGTCATCACATAGTTTGTTAAGCAGAGTTACGTCCTCTCAGCACTGCCTGCAGCACATGTAGCAGAGTCGCACCACAGCTGAACAAACATGGCGCAAAGTCTAACCGTGTGTCCGTGGTAGGTTTCCAACTACTTTAAACTGTAAATTACTGAAAAGTTGTAACAGTAACTCCATCCTTAATAACTCAAGAACCAATAACTCAGGGGAAAAAACAGTATTAAAAATCCAATCTCTTCTAATATCTTTTTGTTTTTAATTTTACTAAAAATTCTATAATTAGGAATTTTTAATTACCTTGTTAAATTTCCAGGTGTTTTTTTTTTAATGTTGTTCTGTCGTTAGTGATTTTCCTGTTGGTCTAATTACTTTTTAAATACATGAATCCATTCTTCATTATGTCATGTTAATGGTATCCTGTCTTCTTCCAGTTTATGATCACTGTCACTGCATATCTTGTGCTTTTCCTCTCCCTTACACAGCTGCACACTGTTTCCAGTACATACTTCAAACAATTTCCTTGCTTCATCCTGTACTGTCCACACACACACTGAGGCCTAGGGTAAACGTTTTTTATTGTTGTTATTCCTTCCTGTATATAGCACCTTATTTACTTCATGATGCTTCACCCACTGAAATCTCTAAAGCATCACAAAGAAAAGAACATCTGATAACACAGACTCGAGGAGGGACTGCTTAATAACGTGCGCAAGTTTGTGTTTGCTTGTATAATACCATCTTTGGTGGTGACGTCACAGATGATGTTAACTTCATTCATGGGAATCTGCCAGTGGGCTTTCTCTTCAGTGAAACTCAAAGCCCTGCTTTCCTGCCTGTTGCAGGGGTACTTCTGGACACGCAGAAACACTGGGCCCTGGAAACAGACGTCAGACACTTATAGCAGTGCGCACGTACTCACAATATATCAAAACAAGTCATACTATTGCAACAACATGGCACACCCTAGTGTTCTGCTTGCAGCTTAAGTGCGAAAGAGTTAAAAGAGTACATTTGATAAGCAATGTAACCAGAGGAACCATTTGGGTTGTGGATGAACATCTTGATACATTTCTTACGTTAAAAACTCACTGCTGTCAGTCTTTTGTAGCTGGGAGGAATGTAAGATAACCACAGACACTCACTTTGAGTACTGGTCCAATACACGAGAAGTGTGGGGCATCACACTGTAATAATCTGTCTTCATGTGTATACCTTGACATCTATGGGCCGTGTGTCCGTGGGACACAGTAGTTTGCGTCGAGTGTTGCCACCTTGGTTTATGGTCCAATATCCTGTCATCTTGACCTCCGGCAGGGGAAACCTAAAAATTGAAGGTCACATGATAACTCCACTGTAAGGCCTGCAAAATGTAATTTATAATAAGAAAGTACTGGCACAGATGCATGGAAGTTTTTTGTTTTTTTTCTGGGTGTGGGTACTGATGTTGTGATTTCTCATTTTGGAAATGGGAAACGATTTTGCTTGCCCACATCAATTAAGATGAACTCAGCCTACTTAAGGGCTCAACGTGGCTGCCACAAACTGACTTCAGATGTGAGCCTTATCCTGTTACAAGCTAGATTTTTAAAAGAAAGACTTTGAAATGTGATCCCATTGTCTCAAGAAAGGCTAAAGTCAACATATTCAGAACACTATGTGTTTGTGTCTGACCAGATGTCCACTGGTTTTCCCATGAATCTTATTGGCTACAGGTGGAGTGAAAAATACATCAGTACCACAAAAAAATAAAAAATTCTGGAGGATAGACAGTTCTCTAATCATATGCATTTCTATGAATGGAAAAGCAGAAAGAGAAATTACTCTTTGTTTTCCATTTCCAAATCTGAAATCTAAGGGACAAATGTTTGCTGTGATGTGGGTAGAGAAACTAGTCTGATAAGGTGCTTAAGATGGGTGATGACAGAAGAGTAATTTAACGACTTGGATTGATGTCGGTACAGACATAACAGGAAAATACTTGTTTCTGCCCTGTTTGTTTCAGGATTTACTTGTTAATGAGATATGAACGTGTATTTATAAATGTGATACTTAAATAAAACCACAGGAGACAGAAGAAACAAATATTTTCCTTTATTTAAAAGACAAAGCTGTACATTGTGAGGCAATGGGGTTGATTTCAGAATAGATTTTTCTTATAAATAGGTTTAAGAATAGATCTTTGTTTATTTAACACTTCAGGAAGCATTGTGGAGACTTCATGAAAGCCTAAAGGTTTAATAGAAACCACTCATACAGTTCAAGGCAGCATCAACCGAGTTCAAGCCTTTCAGGAATTCAATGCCAACAGTCAACAACATTTTAAAATTACAAAATGATGCCTGACAGTCACACACTCACGTGGCACAGTCCCTGAAACCGCTGACCTCTCAGAAGCCACTTTCAGCTGGCAAGTTTCTGGAAAGGTTCTTTGAAAGGCAACAACAAAACTACCAACACAACAAAAACCACTGGCATTAAGGCAAACTCTGGGGGAACAATTATGCTGAAAAATCTATGCATTAAAAGATTGCATGGCCAGGATTACTACTGCATGTCTTCTGCATCTTTGAGTTGCTCAGCTCACTACAGAGTGCCTTCCACTCGCATCGCACTAATTTAGTGAAGTATTTCACTATATCTCTTTGTAATATGTAATAAGAGAGACATTTCTCTGTGATTCATTTGCAGCGTTCAGAGCCAGCTCCAAACCAGAAGACAGATTTGTGTGCCGGGGGCCTGTGTAGGAGGGGCAGCACCGTGAAGAATGCACTAATGGAGAAGAGCATCTTGCATGCACGGCAAATATTGTACACTGTGCACGTCTGCCATCACTTTACCAGACTGAGGAAGCTAGCAGGGTTGATTATTCACATTTGAATGGGCATCATATTAGATTATATTTCCACTGTGTGTTAAGCATCAATAGTTTTTGATATATTTAAAATAGCTGACATGCTAAGATAAACTCTGAACAAATCAAGTAATGACAAGTTTAGGTTCCATTATTTAAAACCGCTTCTGACAGATTTCTAATTTTATGAGGGATAAAGGTTTGGATTAACAAGAAAAACGGCTCCTCTGTGGAACTGATAAAGATCCGAGATAAGGCTCTACTCTGCGATCATTCTGAGCAGCGCCACACATTAGCTAGCACCTTTTATAGTATGACAAACCCCAAATCTTGATCTGCTCCATCGTTGACTATGTGTTCGTCATGTATTTTGGTCCATCCAGCTATTATTATCCCCCTGTGAGGCTCTGTGACCACAGTTCTAACAGTGCAACAATCTGATTCTGTCTGTGTGTGTGTCACGTAATTGATGTGCCTCTAATGTGTGTGTGTGTGTGTGTGTGTGTGTGTGTGTGTGTGTGTGTGTGT